CACATTGATGTATCTTTAAGCAATACGTCTCTCGCAAATTTGTCAGTGCCCGACGTGGGGCACTTTCTCCGGTCTACGGTCTCCCGATCACCGTTGAAGAGACGGACGGATGCAGATTGACAGCACGTGAACCGAACAACATCCCCGACCACTACTCATTAGGAGTGAAGCGTACCACTCAATATATTCAACATCACAAGTGATCCTTTAACTCGCGCTGACAACTCGCTGACTTCTGCACACTCTTGCACACACACATACAACATACTAATACTCTTCACCAAAAAAAAGAAACGTTAATTAAGACCATCAATTTTTCCCCTCTTTCTCATCAATCACAATTTAAACTGAATAAAAAAAAACTAAACTAAGAGTAATTCATTTTATAATATGGGCGGATAGACTGCGGTCAACAGCCCTTTGTATATGTATTTTCTTTGTATACAATAAATTTTAGTTATTTATAATATTTTAATATTTATTACATTCTCACATTATTTTTCTAAACTTCTGCTAATATAACAACGTTAATTAAAATTAAAAAAAAAATAAAAGTAGAGCATATAATTAATCTAGATTTCTAGAAGAAATAAAGATTTTTTCAGTTAAAGAGAAAATGTTCTCGTTTATTGTAATTTTGCTTTATATAAATTATCAGGTTTGTGTATACAGTAGACGTTTCGCATAACGAGTGACGATGAGAAGAGAAGCCTCGGATTTCGCGAATTCGATTTTCTTTGTTAACCTTGTTTATAGCGGACTATACTTTGTAAATATAATTTGTGTTACTGTAAATGCAAAACATAAATGTATAGTGTCCAACCATTATTATAATATATAATCACACTATGTACGCTTTTTTATATAAACAAATATTAAAAGTATAAAAAGACATCCAGTAAGTTCCCGAATTGATACAAGTACTATAAACAAATATACACTCACTTCACTGTGTGTGAATTTAATACACTAAGTTAGTGTGAATTTTATAAAATTGAGTTTAAACTTGCACCGAGCTAGATTAAAATAGATTTACACATCATTGAAGATTCAAACCTTGATGAAATCCAGACGGAGCTATAAACACTCTTACTTGATCATAAAGTTTTTATTTAAATACCAATAACTTAAGTTATTTAATTTCAATACTTTAACTTGCATGTAAACTATTGTAGAAAGAGATAAAATAAACTTTTACTTGTCAGTGAACCCTCAATATAAAATTAAATAGCCACTTCACAAATTATGACGCGATAGATACTTAACATATCATGACGAAGTATCAAATTCTTTTCAAGTTTATGTGCCTCAAAACGATCATACTCTAAAATTAATCCCAAGGTCACTGAAGATATAAAATAATCCACTCCAACTGCTTGAACACAGATGATAAATTATTGTGTTTCCATATTATGCGTGATTTTTTTTTATGCATATCTTTATGATGACAAGGATTATTTTATTTTAGTGAGATTTGAACTCGTTATCTTTGTATGTAATGAGTCAATAATATGTCTAACACACATTTATATCAAATGTCATAGGAAAATACAATTTATTAATTGTTCTATTTTATTAATTTTCTCTTAAAGCCTGAATAATATTTAATAACTAATACAAAAAATTAATAAAACGATAATATAGATAATAATACCTCGCATAGTACGGATTCACTACAGTCCGGTTTTAAAAATTTCAAAATAAAAGTAAATTATATAAAAAAGTAAACAATATTTTTTTAATAGATAAAATCATTTAATCATTTTTTGTATGTATTTAATTTGATTGATGCGGTTTCAAACAGACGGGGATATTGAAAGAACCAATTATTCGGACAATGCGAGGTATTGCTGTATAATACCATATAATACGTAGTAAAGTTTAAATATCTATATTGATACAATTATTGCGTAACAGGAAAGACTCCCAGTTCAACAATTATTTCTATACTTAGAAGCTAACGAATTAAAAAGGCCGTTGGCTCCGGGCACTCTCTCACGCATATATCAAATCCATCAATTAAGATTAAAAGCTAAGAATCTTTTTGGTTTTGGTAAAAATAGAAGGCAATCTGATTTATCGCCTCCACTAATTAGACACAACTTTGGATGAGTGCATATGTATGAGTGTGTGGTTGTGTGTGTGTGATATGGCTGAGTGGATATGTTTAATAATACACCCATATAAAAGTGGTTTTATCGTACAACTTTTATGTTTATGATCGCGATTAAATTTGTCTAATAAACATCAGAACGAATATGCCCACCGTAACCGCGATTTTATAAGTTCATCATTCTGATGTGACACCGAATGGTGTACAGAAGAGAACTGGCCGAAGACCTTAACAGCAGAAGCAGCACCAACGGCAGCAGAAGCAGCAGCAGCTTTTAATGGTCAGATAAGAACTGTTTACTCAGGCATTCCCCAGCCACGTAATGAGCTTTTAATTATGACATTTTATATACTTCATATATTACGGTTTATTATGCACGGAATAAATAAATAAATGAAATTAAAAACGCACACACGTAAACACAACAGGTGCAAGATTTTATAACAAATTACCAACAAAAAAGAAGCATCTTAAATGATATACGAAATAAATAAAAACGATTTACCGACTATCTCAAGAGACACAACGGCGGACGTGAAATAATAATAATAAATAATACATTTCTTTTCCTGCTTTAATTGACTGGAAATATTTAAAAAAAAAAATCTTGTTTTTTAAATTTTTTATAAGTTAATTTATTGGATGCCCGGGCAGACGTATTAAATCGTCTTTAATAATATGTTATTTCCTTTTTTTTTCAATATGCAGTTTGTTTATTATTTTGACATCCTATAATGGTCCATAGAATCGGATGTAAATTTCAACGAGTAATATTAAATTAATTATATTTAAATATTAATTGGACAGCTAAATGTTTTTTTAATATAACTCTGTTGTTCTAATAAACTTTATTAACATACATTTTGAAAAAGTGTTTAAATTGACCAAAGTGGCTTACGTTTTTTTGCGTTTTAAATTGTTTTTAGTTTTCATACAGTGTTTTGTTATTTGTTATTGTGGCTATTTGCAAACTCTTGCTCTTTGATCCGTTTAGGCCAGAATGGGGATAAGTTTCATCATATAGAAAATCAAAAGCATCTTTTCAAACAAAGAAAAGTTTTATTAAATCATATTTTAAAATATGAGACTGAAGTTAATTGTTTGCCCCTTTTTTCTCTTTCATTTAATTATACGTTTTCAACGATAATTATTCACATTCTTACCAAGAACAATATTTTCGGATAATTGCGGGCTTTGTTATATCGAAGCTTCGTAATGTTAATCGAAGTATGACTGAAAAAACAACTATTGATAACATTACAATCAATTTCTGTTCATACTTGTATGTTAATAGTGTTTTACAATACAAGATGCAAAATATTATTTTATTTTTATTAGGAATATGCATATTGTTTATTATGTCCAAAAAATATTTTTTTATAATAATATAAACGAATGTTAAACTGATATATTTTCTTATTAACTTCGAGAATTAATAGTAATACTATCTTATATAATTTTTTTCAATCTGAAATAACACAGATTACTCCAGAATTACTAGATTTACTAGATTAATATACTCTGAACCTTTCTATATTTTTCCTATACTATTCATGAAATAATATCAATTTAATTGAAGTCGATCACTTATATACATGTTGCCTATATTTCGTAACTTTATCATTAGCTTTAGCACTTTCACGATATAAATGCTTTTGCTGTAAATTTTCCATAATATAGTTGAACCAAAAATTAGTTAATAATTATGCCAAAAACCAAATAATTGCATATGATTCTAATGTCTTTAACTAAATCCATAGCAAAAACAAGAAAATGTAGCAAATAAACATAACATTTTCAACATTTTTGAAGCTATAATTAATAAAACGTTGCTCATAGAAAAATCTCAAATTCAAAAATTCCTGAGAAAATTCAAGTAAATAGGGAATAACTAGGAATAATGTTAAAAGTCTTATCTAGTAACAAATAAAATAATCTTATTTAATAAACATAAATTTGTCGAAGGATAATTAAAGGGCATATATCCGGTTCATAATAAATTAGAAAATTTAGAAGCTATAAAAATGATATATAAGTTTTTATAAGATTTGAATTATAATATATATATACTTATACAATTAATGTCTAATTAATGTCAACTGAAATCAAGTTTACTTAATAAACATTACAAAGAAAAAAGAGATGACATAATAATAAAAAAATGTGTTTGATCTGTCTGAGTATAATTGGATTTAATATAATATTTGCAATCTTTCACCTTATATAGATTCCTTCGTGAGCGATTAATAAGCATTACGTGTGAAACGTAAATTAGGAGTAAATTGAGAGAAAAAAGCTGCGAATGAAATTCCTGTGCGATGATAAATCCATAATTGGATTATTAAGAAATCTCCGTCGTTCACGTTGAATGCGAGTGTAATTGGCATAACAAATGGCATTACCCGGTAATTACAAAGTGCTGATAAGTTGATGTACGTAAGCGAAACCGGGAGCGAGATTGGAATAACAAAAACGAGGCAAAGAGTAGAGTGGAAAAAAAAAGAGAGAGGAGGAGAAACACGCATAAACGCACAAGGCAAGTGTATAAAACTGTGTTTAAAAATATCCGTATCCATCTAACGTCAGGAATGTAAAAGTTAAGTGACTTAAGTAGCGTTCGTCAATTGTCTGATGTGTGGATGATGGTGATGTGTGACCGTTGTCGGGTCTGGTTTTGATGTTTTTTTTTTTACTTAATCATTGCTTAAGCTGGGGTGCGTGTGGTTGAAGAGGATGGTCATGGTATAGATAGTTGAGCGCCTCCGCCGCGTCGAACCCGGTGATCCTCCCGCGTTCAGCGTGTCGGGTATTTTTGGGGTCGCAGGTCAAGCACGGGTCATAACAAAAGCGTTGCGCATGCGGCAGACGGCTGGTTTTACAGGTGAGCGGCGGGTCCCACACGCGGTTCTGGGCTGGCAGTCATGGGGCTCGCCTGGGTGCAGTGAGTGTGCGCGCGGACATGCACGCCGTGCTCGTGCCTGTTTACCTTCTGCTTATTACCCCCATCACCTCATCATGGTGGTAAGTTTTCACATACTTTTTATACCTATTCCTACGTACACGGCTCAAACCGATCAACCAACCCCTCCGATTATTACGCAATCGCTCTTAGCGCACCCCGAACTAAACTAATACACCCTACTTAAGTCACAGCTAGCATAGATCTTCATTTTATCTTATCCAAATGATCTAATGCATTTAGATTTTTTTTTTGTTAAACATACATTCATTTTTATCTGTACCACAATTAAAACACAGTTTTTTTTATATGAATCATCCAGCTTTACCAAAATATAGTTCCTACATTTTATTAATACTACAATTTATGAAATAATATAACTTAAAAATATTATCTAAATATGAACTACAAATATACAGAAACATATTTTAACTAATTTCATGATGACTTAAGTCACTGTTTTTCAATGGATTTACCTAAATGATCTAATGCATTTTTTGTGGTTATCACGTAATTATTACTAATTTGTATCTTAATTTTTCTCAGTCTTAAATTATGAAAACCATATTTTTAATGAAAATAGTAAATTTTTATATTAAAATTTTCTTAAATATAATATTTTACTTAATTTCATTTAAAATATATACAAAAATATTTAATAATTATACAATCTCAAAAACCAAACACATCAAGACTTCTGCTAAATCAGTATCATTTTTCTATAATTATTTTACTTTACTTTTTAATTTTTAAATTATTTATCTTGAATTGTCTAAGAAATATTAGTGTTCACCTCCGTAAGAAAATTATGATTACTCAGCTTAAGTCACAATTCGTATAGTAATTATCCAAATGTATCGTATCCAACTTAATTAAATAATTTCTAAACTATATAATTTTAATTAACCGAAATAAATAGTTTGTGTCCATTCCAGCCTTCTGCATTCTGGTTCAGAAATACTTTTCCACTTATAATAATAAACAAAATTTATTATATAACCAAATGCAAAGTGCTATTGACCGCAGTATTTCCACCTATTTTCCAACATTTATTAAAATTTTAATTTTATCGGAATGATATTTACTCATCCATCAATATTTCCACATCACATCTTACAAACTCTTTACCAGCTCTTTTCATAAAACTATTAAAAAAATAATGTTAATAAAAGTTGTAAAAATGTTTTCTAATTTAATTTGATGCGAATATGTCTTATAATATTATTATACAAACGGTTTCTAATTCTATACAATCTAAAATACCCGAGGCATCAAACCAAGTCTGCGTCTTTCTTTATTGAATGTAAGAAATACTATTCTACAATTATTTTCTATTCATCTTTTCCCAATTTATATAACATTTATTAGAGCGTTAAAGGTCTGAAAATATTTCTTCTTAAGGATTTATAAATTAGCTTGTGTATGAATGTACCATTCATTATTTTCGTTGTAATATACAGGTATCCCCCGACTTACGAACTGGTTTCGTTCCAAAGGGTTGTTCGTAAGTCGGGTGAATATTTTAAATTTTCAAAGTATACTTATCTTACCATACTTTATCATGGTTTTTACTTTTATATATGTTAAATTCCGTATTACTGACTGATATTTTATTAAAGAAGTTATAAATTTTTGTTTAGACAGTTATTTTTTTATCATTATATATCTCATTATAACAAGTTAGAGCTATTAGAATTTTGTTCGTAAGTCGGGTGATAAATGTACATTAAACATATTTGTACTAAATTTTCTATTTCAATTTAATACGAATATTTTTTAGAATATTATTACATAAAAGGTTTATTTACCAGATAAATCAAATCTGTGTCTTTCCACGTTGCACGTAAGAAATTATTTTCTACAATTATTCTACTTTCATCTTTTTGTAGTTATATAACATTTTTTAGATTGTTGTATATACAATTTCGCAATAAATAATTATATTCTCTTATTTTATTAAGTTTTTTTAGTATTATAATCATTATTTCAAAGAAAATATTTATTTTATTTGTATTATTTGATTGCATTGAAAAAAAAACTTAGTTTTCGTATTTTTTGAAATTTTCGGACTTTTAATAGAAATAATGTTTATAACATCATCATATAATTATAGTTCAAAGCCGAAAATTTTTAATTTTATGTATGATTATATAATTAATTTATCACTTATGTATAAGCGATAAATTTACTCATACTTAAATAATATATTAATTTAATTATTATTATAATAATTTAAAGTTGATCTAGATTTATTAAATTCGATTTCTCCTTTTTTATAAAGATTTCAATAACATAAAAATGAATTAAAATAAGATAAATGTGTATATAATGAATTTTAAATAATTGACAATGAATTGATTGCATAACAATTGCGTTATTAATTTGCTATTGCAATCGGTGAGAGCGCTCACTAACTGACTGCATCATGCATTTCAAATTGATTCCAATTTATGGTCACGTCTCAAATCAATAAAGGCGTACACACTATGCGACGTGCATACGACAAAGGCGAATTATATTATGCAGCTAGCAAAATCTCTGTTGCGCAACAGGCCATAAATCTCGACAAAGTTTAATTCCGAATCCGAATTTATTGCGGACGATCAAACGAACTTAAGTACATAGCGAAATGAAAGAAACCGAGGGAGAGTTTGAAGATTGAAAACAAGAAGGAATATCGTACCAGCTATTTGCTCACATGTTTCGTAATTTCAAAGCACACATTGCGTTTTACCTTCGTTCTTGAAAAAGCAAACATTAAATATTAATTCGTTTTAGACGTTATTTTCTACTTCTACTTTTCTTTTTATTATTTTCTTCGGAATAAGTAAATAACGGTTTGGAACCACTTACTTTTATTATTACTTGCAAAGGTTTTGGGTTTTGTACATAACATTATCTTATAACCTTTAGGATAAATATAATCTTCTATTATTATTAAAAAAATAGAAATTTCAATGAAATATTTCATAATATTTAATAATTGGGTGGTTTGGACAAGGTCAAGATATTCATTTTTTTAAATACAGTTATGAATTCTTCAATTAAAGAAAATATAAATGTAAGTAAAAAAAGGACTAAAGTTAAATTGTTAAATTATGAAAAAATAATTCATGTTGTTTTTTGTAGTTTGTGTTATTCTCATTCTAGCAATTTTCTTTATTACCGTTATTTGCTTTATATTTTAGTACATTTTTACTTTCTTTTACATAAATATTAAATTTCTAAATAAAAAAAATGTGCTTTTCTTTCCGTGCTTGTACTTGAATATTGATATTATACTGAAGAATTTAGTGCTTTATTTAATAATTGTGTTATTTCATTTTTTTATGTTTATAAATTATTTTTAATGTTAAACAATTTGAAACTAAAAATTGAGAATATTTGACTTTGTTTTCTTAAAAAAATAATTATAATTTATTGCATAGAAATATAACATAAACTATATTTGAAAGTAAAATTCCAATTGAAAATATTAAAAACTTTAAATTATAAAACGTATAAAGAAATAAAAAAATTCTATATACATAAAAAACATAAGCGAACAAATAAATTTTTACTCAAAAATTTGAGCAAATTTTTAAAGAAAAAATAGACAATCTGTCCCAAATAAATTTTAAACAATAATAACAATATTTATTTAAATAATTATATTTTTATAAGTACTTATTATTGAAAGTAAACTGCGAAATAAAAAAAATACGTAATAAATACATAAAAAGAGAATATTAATAATATTCATAAAAAATATTGCTAATATCTTAAATATTTCTGCTTTAATTAAATAATTGAATAATAATAATAAAAATCTTTATTAGTCACCAATTGTAACTAAAGCGCTATCGTCATTAAATAAAAAGTTAGAGTTAATTATAAAACTTATATAAAATAGGAAACAAATATATTATTTATTCAACTACAAATTAGCGACTTGCTTCATGACAATTTGTTTATCTTTATTATGTTTTCCTTTCAATTTTGAAAGAAAGAAATTTTATAATGTTTCCTAACATTTGAGATTTAATGAAGAGTTTATGTTTATTATGTTTATGTTTATGAGATTATGTTGGTAGAACATATTTATTATTGTTTTTGATTTACTAGTTTGTTGCTAACATAGCACGGCAATACCTCGTATAGTCCTGATAATCGGTTCCAGTAACATCTCGTAATTTCTAAAACCAGACTAATCGAGAAATAATTTTTAAATAGACTACTTGTTACATTTGGAGAAAACTTTTTTTGTTTAATATATTGAATGAATATAAAACAAAGATTTTAAAGATATTTACTATTAATCTAATCAGTTTGTATATGTTAAATTTTTCGATTAATAATTTATTTTTGCTCGTTATTTTAGAATGAATATTAGTTCTGTTAATAGTTAAGGTTGATTCAAAATCATAAATAAGTTTTCGGTTTATTAGAAAAGGTAATTTAATTTGTAATCATTCTTACATTTCGAAATCACTTTTGTCTATTATTTAAAAAAAAATCATACCTTTGTTTGTAACTAATATATAAACAATATAATGTAACAAAGTACACTTGACTTGTTTAATGTTTGAAAAATTATGATACTTATGTTTGTAATTAACATGAGAAGTTTGTTTTATAACTGATATAATACAGTTTATTATTGTTAACCTGAAAAACTTATTACCAGTTGTGAACAGATAATAAAAAACGACAACAATAATATGATATATAATATATTTTTGTAAAATATAATAAGGATGCATTTTTTCCATAATTAATGTTTGTAAGAAAGAGCAGAACGATTATTCCGGTCCATTTTGTTTTTCCTCAAGTAAAACAAGTGTTATTCATGCAGCAAAGACCGATCTGTGTGTGTGGGTATATGTATATATATATATATAATAATGTTGTGAAGTTAGCATAAAATGAGTGACCGGAACAGAATGAAAATTATAATGTTTTCGTCCTCTCCAGTTTCATGTTTTGCATTAATTTCGAGTTAGCGCGTCACGTTAACTTATTACATGGTTATAATCTTTAATATATACAATGAGTCCCCGGCCATCGGTAATTGAAATTGTGT